GAATTTCACCTGGGTATATTCATAGATATCGAGGGAGCTTTTGAAAAAGCAACCTTTCCAACAATTTCCCAGCAACTACACTCCAGGAATGTACCCCTGGTAGTAGGAGAATGGATACTCAAGATGCTCTCTAGTAGAGCAATGAGTATCAATGTAGAAGACATCACAGACTGGTCATGAGGGATGTCCACAGGAAAGGGTCTCATCATCCCTTCTCTGGAACATAGTTATGGATACCCTGAATAATCACCTCAACAATAATGGATCTCTATGTCATATGCATATGCATATGACATAGTTATCTTGCAGACCGGCACATTTGTGAACACACTGTGCGATAGAGCGCAGGATGGGTTCAAATTAATAGAAACATGGTGTAAAGAACACTCACTGTCAATTAATCACAAGATGCTATTTTTCACTAGGAAAAGAAGTTTATGGGGCTCAAAACCTCTCGAAGTCTTTAAAAGCAAACTAAACTTCTCTGAAGAGGTGAAATACCTTGATACTATCCTCGACAGGAAGCTAACATGGAACTATCACCTTCAGAGTAGAGCATAAAGAACATATGTGGCTTATGAGCAATGTCGGAGGACAGTGGGAGGTGCATGGGGTCTTTCACTCCGTGTGGTCACCTGGATCTACACTGCAATTATAAGACTTATGTTAACGTACGGAGCCATTGCATGGAGACCGAAAGTTCTACAAGCAACAGCCATCCAAAAATTATATCAAATACAGCGACTGACTTGTTTAAATATCACAAGAGCCATGAGAACAAAACCAACCGTGGCAATGGAATTAATTACGGGTCCAACTCTCTGGACCTGTACGTTAAGGAGGTTGCGTTAATTGCTATGAAGTGCCGCTGAAAATTTGTTTTTGACATTAAGGAATGTACTATACATATCCATCTATATTAATCTTCATCACGTATTTATCTATAAACCTATGTATAAAGGTAATATTTAATTAGCTGATCATATTTTGGAGAATTACCTATTATATCCATCAGTATGAACAACTTTTCTCAAGAAAGTAATGGTCGCAAACAGATTTTTTTATAACTAAATTTATTTGGAACTATCTTTGCTCAAAATATTATCAGCTAATTAAATGTTACACTGTATATTATTTATTTATTGCAAAAATCTAAATTATGACAGTAATTTTTCGTACAACAAAAACAAAAAACAACTTCTAACTTGTAATTGACGGTAGAATGAATAATGAATTTCTAACTTTTCAATCAGTCTTTTAATCAGCAATAAAAATCTCGGTGTTCATTTTTCACGGCGAAAACAACTAAAGTCGTTTGATCACTGCACTATTCGCCGCGACTGCCGCTCGACTCCGTGGCTCGCGCTGTACAGATTCATGCATTTGTTTTGCTCACCGGCCGCACCGCAAGTCGCCCACGGGATTCGCTCGGTACCTTTCGTCGGTCGCTTCGCCGGTCGCGTGGGTTTCAGTCGCTAGACGCATTGCCGTTCACACTTCGCGAATATTCGCATCGGCGAAAGTCCCGTGGCCAGGCTGTTACGTACAAACTCCACCAAAATATATAAATTATTTAGCACAGTTAAATCTGATGAATATGTTGTTAACTATAACAGTTGGGCTGAAAAGTTCGTAGGCTAACATAGAAAGAAGAAAAAAAAAAAAAACATGTTTTGATTTTTTATTGAATTAGTATTCATTATAGTTGCCTTTGAGGGCGATTCAAAGATTATTACGGTCATACTATTCTTCGATATCATTTTTATAATACTATTTGTCTTAGCCTCAAAATAGGCCTGTTTCTACGGTCACCTACTTCTTTATTGGCGCTGAATTTATTTCCAGCGAGCATTCTCTGAGAACAGAAAAAAATCGCTGGTGGCCAGATCTGGAAAACAGTTCACATGGAATCAAAACTTTTGTAACAACATAATAGTTCTAGGGGGTCGTTTTCCAGATGTCGTAATACCCTTTTAATTTTCACTAGGTGAATCAGTCGGTTGAATCGTACTCCTCCAACTATCGTACTGGAGCTTTATACAGAGTAAATACAAGAATTTATTTCTCAAATTAATAAAAAGTCAAAGGGTAAAACATCTGACATCATACTTCAAAGGCGTGGTACTAAAGTGCCCGTTCACATTGAACAGTGTCGTATTACATGAATTGGATGTTATTTTTCAGCACATTTATTACTTTTGGTGGTAAAAAATACCCGCAGCATAACCTTCAATAGTAACACACCAGGTTTGTGACATGTATGAAATAAAAATATTCGTGACTTTGAATTTAAACGAGCAACAGTCATATTGTTATCTAGTAATCGCTAACATGAAAAACTCGTTTTTATAAGCTTTTTGAAATGAGATTCCACTATGGTCTGCAAATGCACTTTCCAAGATACAGGGTGTCGAACATTTTTGAAAAATTTATTTTTTATTAACCTTGTAAATATCCCTAATCTGCTGGTATTGAAATTTGTCAGTGTTATTTTCAGTGACAAGATGTTTATTGAACCTCAATTAGATACAAATATTGAGTCCAGAGGCGGCTCGGTGCACAGTTTAGCCAACGTTATTGATCAAAAAGTGTACGCCACTGACATTTCTTGTAAAATTTAATTTTTTGTTGGGTGAAATATCTAATAGTGAAACTTTTCGTATCTCGCTATGTTTGACATAAAAATTAAGAACGAAAAACGGATAAAAACAAGCAGTGCGCTATGCATTGAAAAAAGCAACAACTAATGAGCCTTTTTCCTGAGAATAGCACAGGGAACGTGTCACGAGAGGCAGCACGAGTAGTAGGGACAAACATAAACTATTCACATGTAAAACAGTGTTATTTACGTAATATTAATTTATTATTCAAAAATAATAATCTGATATGAAAAATTATTTTGTGCTAGTATAATGCCAACAAAGCATTGCTGTTTTGCGAATTGTACGTCGGATAATCAATATCCGGCAGAAAAATCAAGTTCGCACAAGAAAGGGAACCTCGTACAACTACGTCGTGAGAACCATGCTGAGAGAAGAAATGAATTGATATTATTTTAAATGGTTAGAAAAAGGGAAGCTGAAAATTATCAGATAGGTAGATACTAAATTTTAGTGATTACTGGCCATGGTTTCAAGAAGGCGTGCCGTAATATGTAGCAATTACGTCACACCTTACTAATTACTTTTGTCTCAATTAACGTGATGTAGTTGGTTATATTATATGAGTTAATTGAAAATAGATGGTCAAAGCAAACAACTGAAATTGTAATAAGCAGATTGCGGATTGATCTCAGATAATTATGAAAATGAAATTATTAGTATAACACACCCCTTTCAAAGTTCAAAACAATTTATGTCTCGTTTCCCATGAGACGTTCAGGTAGGAAACAAGAAACACTGATACGTATTTCAAGGCTCCAATTCATGGAAACACATAAAATTAACTGAAACTGATAATGGAGACCTCTGGTAGATAATGTAATGATAATGGAAATACTTATTTCTAACTTTTGTTTTTATACAGCTCCCACAAATCGCTAAACAGACTAATAACCTGCAAAATTTGAATGTTGGTGAACTGAAGAGCAACACTTCCTTGAAGTATCCATATTACTGATTTTATTCATTCATTGTAGACACATCAACAGATTTAAATATGAAAAACTGTTTATTATTTACGGTTTCGGGATCAACTGTTGAAATGTCTGTGTAAATATCTTCAATATTGGAAGCAATAACACAGATCTCTGAAGATGCGAAGGCCAGTCGCGATGAAACGTCAGAAATAAATTCCAATAGACGACGGCCTGAAAACACGAAACAACCAACAGTTTCGAGAAATTGCTGTCTAAATCTGTATGTAGGTCTTCAAAATTGAAAATAAATATTTATACTGATAAATTTTGAAATGCATACGTATCTAATTTTCCTGAAGATGAATATGAAGATGTTGAGAATTAAAACTTTCTATGTTTTTCACCACTTTTATTTGTAACTAACGTTACTCTGCAGTTTCGTCACATATACATACATACATTAAATTATAATTAAATTAATTTAATGTATAAGTTTGAAAATGTCCTTAAAGGACGAAACTGCAGTAACGTTAGTTACAAATAAAAGTGGTAAAAACATAGAAAGTTTCAATTACCTTTTCTTCATTATGATTTCCTACCACGTAGTAATGGCTACATCCAGCAATTTATTGAATAGTCAGCAGTTTTGTTTATTGTTTTTGGCACATTTCATTCTTCATATTTTGACGTATCTGGTGGATGTGTATCCCATTATTAAAAATAAATATGAACCTTTCTGCTCATACAAGAGTTTTGGAGAAAACTGGAGAGAAACAGCAATAGATAAATTTCATATACAACGTTCTTAAGTGCACTGAAAGCTGCAGAGGAGTAAGAAATATAAATCTCGTTCGATGGTCGTAATGGAAGCTTATGGTTTGATACTTTCGTCTATTTCAAGGATGACGTCTCCGTCACAGAATATCTTTCGGGAGAAACGGGGTTTCTGTGACCTTTATTCTGTGTTAGATGTGTTTAATGTTATTTTTAGCGGTAAATTCAAATTACTCCAAGTTTATCGACTATATGATATAATTTTATGCAAAAAATGATCACTAGGTCTTCTAGGCAGGTTGTTAGGTCAACATTTTAACAAAATAAGCTTTATGTTACCACGTTCCCTGAATCAGTTAAAATTTTTAGGTTGTTAGTAATCTGGTCGTGTTGAGTTATATCTTGTGAAAGGTTTTCTTTTTCTAACACACTTATTTCTTCACAGGTTTTTTCTTTAAGGGTAGTTGAGTAAACAAAATTGATTCGTGTAGCTTAGCACCACTGATAAGATCTATAACAGATTGAAACAGCTCTGGTATTGAATCACGAATGGTTTGTTTTTGAGACCTGGTTTTATAAATTCTCCATTTTTCATTATTTGTTCGTAATTCAATTTCTATTTTGCAGAAAACAAATCTCAGTAACTTACCTCACATAATGCAACCCCAGTCTCCAACTTCTCCATGAAGTTTTCGACTGCAATGTTCAAATGAGGGTACATGGTTTGCAACCACTCAGCCAAATCTTCTTTCATGGCATAGAGATATTCTTCACTAGACTTGAAGGGCCGAAAAGGCCTGGCCTCCAAAAGAACAGACGAAGACATCGTTTCTGGGTTGATTCAAAGCGTCAGAGGAATTAGCCGAATGATTATGATTTTGACATTTTGGAATACGGCGGTGTTTCTATTCGCAACCTGAAAAAACATTGATCAGTTGAGAAATGATGATGAATAACATATGAGTAATATAATTAGCAGGTATCAAAGATGCTGTTGATATTCTCGGCCTTTCTCAAGATCGCACGTTAGAAGGTTGGGTTAGGTTAGGTCCAAAGTGAGTGGGTCTATTCGACTCTCCACCGCAACCCGCAAGGGTTTATTTTGGCTCACACCTATTCACACTCGACTAAATAAACCCAGCTTCTTAACTAAGCCGATTAGTTTGTATGATAAGTGATCTTTCAGATCAGACGGTAAAAGTACGGCTCTGCCGAACTCTAAAAACCTGATTCGGTCCCCAGCGGGGCAGGCATAAAGTATATGCTCTGCTGTTACATAATTTTCCGAACAGAGGCTGCACACACTGTCTTTCGACAGTCCGAGTCTCTGCATGAGATGATTCAAATGACATTGACCTGTAAGAAGGCCTGTTAAACATCGTAGTCCAACAACTGTTCGAAATTCGAAGGGTGAATAAACGCTTTGGAGTGAGCCAATCGTGGAAGATTCTGCCAGAAGTCCATGAATCTTCTTGCCATCCAGGTGTTCAATATTTGTTTTGCAAAGCATGAAGCGATGCCAATGACAGGTTCTGGTCCAATGAAGCTGCTTGCAGCACCCTCCTTTGCAAGGGAGTCAGCAGCCTAATTGCCTTCCAGCTCTGTATGGACAGTATGAAATACAGCTTCAAATACAGTCGCATAGGTTTCTAGGCAGGTTGATGTCTCTGTCCTGGGTCTGCGACTGAAAACACCTGCCCTAGAACCGAAAGGTGTTCACACAAGTTAGAAGAGCCAGGGGTTGAAGGGGATAATCATGCCTTAAATTTCGAATACTGAAGTATCCAATATTATGTTTCTTCATAGAATACAACTACCTGAAGAGCGATTTTGACTTTAATACTTGAAATACTGGTTAGTTTTTATGTTTGTCGTGTATACGTTCTATAAAATCTTCTGCGATATACATAAGTCTCGATAAAACTCAATTTGAAAAAAGTATTCCCACACTGTTTATTGTCACAAAATTGACATTCTCATGTTGAATTCTTTCAAAATTGGAAATCCGAAAAAACAAATCCTCGAATAGCACTGGCATGTAACTGTTTTATCCCTTATTAGGGATAAAACCCTTGATGAAGCTAATAAACATTAGCGAAAGCCCGGACAGCTGAACAGAGTATTATTCATTTTCTCAACAGACCGAATCCCCGAAAAACCACCGGTTAAAGATGGCCTTTCCCTTTTAAATTCAATCATAGACACACCACTGTTACGGTATAAAGGTTAACAACCTGTCCTTTAATCTTATCACAACGACCTTCAAAGATAACAAATATACGATATCAGGTATCTTTAATTGCATCAATTAGTTCACTGAAAAATTAATAACTGTTTTTATGGAACATTGAAAAATTATTTTGTAAAGGTGCAAAAATCAAACTTGTTTGATGCAAAATATCGTTGTTTTTGTTCTGGCACTTTATTCCAGTTGTATTTTATTCCATCAAGATTCTATAGTACCTACGTATTCTTCCTTCACGTAGCTATTTGAAAATTTATCAATAACATTGGAATGTCTAACATCAACAAAATATATCTTGAGAAAAAAAAGGTTTTTGAAAATTTAACAAAATAGGGCATATACTATCATCAGTTAAATCAATAAAACGTATACAGCCAAGGCAAACTTACTTTCAACAAGTTATGAAATACTCAACATAAATTAATATTTCCAAAACAAAATGAGGCTTGCTCCCAACAAACAACAGCAAACAAAAATATTGTACGTTAATATTATCAAAAGGTGTTTTTCAGATAACTATATACATTGTAAGTGATGTTTGCCAGAAATTAAAAAAATTCTTAGAAGGTGATAACAAAAACGTACTAATTTTCAAAACAAACTATATTTATTCATTTCAGAAAATTGAATCAGTTTCATTTTATAGAATCAATTTTTGCGGACGTGGGTGATTGTATTAGTCACTCCTTCATCATAGGAAATCCCAGATATGAGATATAAAATGAAAGCACAAGCGCGCTTAGAATACGTTTCACGCTCTTTGTCGGACTGCCACGGTTGAATCTATTTAGCCTGATTCTTGTATAAAATATATAGAGAAGATGAAACCACGTATGTTTTTCTGCAAATGAAAGATATACTATATTTCATTTTCAACAGATTTTTTTTAGAAATGATGACGGAAATATCAGTATCATTATTACAAAATTTGAACGATTACCAGACGTTCTAAATAACTTTTCATTTTTAGATTTCATAGAATTTTCACANATAGCCGAGGAGGTCAGACCAGCCTCTCGAGGACGCTTATCCCAAGACCGTTGTGCGCTATGAAGAATAGCACCCTGCACGAGGTGGCCCTGTATAGCAGTGTACTCTCAATGCTCTGGCAGAGAGAGGGGCTGTGAACCGAACACAACGGATCTAAACAAGGCAAGTTGACAAAATCCCCCAAGCCAAGGTGTGAGTTACCGTGCTGAGGACCGAATGGCAGCAGGGTAAGCTGTCGAAAAACAGTACCTCTGAGACACCAGGTCCCATCTCAGAGTATCAAGACCTTACCGCGGCATGCGGGGCTCTGTCGCGGCGGACTAAGTTTCCCTAGCTACTCGTGGGATTCATATGGATTCAAAAAAAAGTAAAAAGTACTCAGAGGGCTGAAGCCACCAGTACTGCACGGGGTAGAAATTCCAATTGCACAAGAGGCAAAATACTTGGGAGTCATTTTTAACCACAAGTTGACAAGGAATCAACACCTACAACTCTAGCATACATGAGGGCACACACAATAGACCTGCAAAGGTCGCAGTGTAGTGGCTGTCCAGCACAAAAGCCCCATATTAATCTAATCTACCCTGAAGTTGCTGGATTCCATCCAAAAGAGCTATCCGCCTGATTGAAACGCAAACATCACGTGCAACCTTGATAGCTTGGAACACCAAAGAAAATTTGGAGATTTGTCTGTCTTCTATAGATACTTTCACGGGAAGTGTTCAAGTGACTTGGTACATATGATTCCACCAAGAGCGGTACATATCAGAAATACGCGACGGACTGTGGCTGCTCATCGTTTTGAGTTTCAACTCAGTACATCTAGAACTTTACTGTTTAAGAACTCTTTCATCTGGAGAACTGCGATTATGTGGAATAAACTTCCAAATGTATTTGATCTCCAGCGATCAAAAATCTTGTTTGAATTGAAAGCGGTGTATTTTTAGGAAAGATTAATTTGTGGGAGAGGTTTTGCTCGAAATCTTTTCGCTGGATATTTTTCAAATATTTGACGCATATTAGATGTGCTGAACATTTCTTAGGTTAACGCACAGATGGCGCTACTAGTATTGAATCTATATGTTTTTCAGTTAACCCTAACTTTCAAAAGACGAAAAGGCGATAAAAAATACTGTTGAAGCCAAGGCTTTGGCTTGGCCAGGAAAATCAACAGTTTGAACAGGGCGAAATAAACATCAGGATGATGCACGCAATGGACGCCCCAAAGAGGTTGTTACCGACGAAAACATCAAAAAAGTCCACCAAATAATTTTGGATGACCTCAATCTGGAGTTGAATAAGTTAGCCGAGGCTCTAAAGAGGTTAAAGAAATGTGTTGTACATATCGTGCATGATTATTTGGGTATGCGAAAGCCTTGTTCAAAGCAGGTGCCGCGCGCCTTCACAATCGACCAAAAACAACAACGTATTGATGATTCCGAGCAAGGCCGTGCCCAGGGGGGTCCGACCCCCTTGGGCACTCTACCAGTAACCACGTGCACCGCGGAAACAGTGTGCAAAGTCCTGCAGTCACTCCTTTGTAACTTAATAACAGCTGTCGACCATGTTGGGATCGTAATATCGTACTTTCAAGATAGTTGAAGCAATATTGAAAACGAGTTTTCAAATTCATTTACAGGAGCAAAAGATTTGTTAGCCGAAGTCAATGAATAGATCAAGCTTCCACGGTTGACATCAGTACAGAAGCATGGCGCTAATCTAAATACTAATAATCCTGAACAGTATTAGAAAACTTAATTAACTACCCAGCTCAAAATAAGATTTACTGACAACAATAAAGTGATACCATACCACAAAGATCTGGCCAAGTGAGTTTGTCACATTGCTTGGATTCTTTCACAAAAGAGGAAACTCTGGATGGAGATGAAAAACCAATGTGTTCGAGGTGCAAGCAAAGGAGAAAATGTACAAAGTCCTTATCAATCTATAAGTTTTCCCGTATTTCAGTAATTCATTTGAAAAGATTCTCTCCAACGGAAAGGTTCAGAGGCACATTGAATGTTTCCATTGACTTTTCTTCAGATGGATTAGATATGAGCAGTTATGCAGCAGACAATGTGGCTCCTTTTCGTTATAATCTACTAGTACTATGTTGCTGTATCGCTGCTGTTTCAATATTTTGACAGAATCAGAATCAACGAACTTAGGCGTGCGCAGCGTTATAGAACAGTGCTTTAAAAAAAGTGTTCTACAGCGCCATCTAGTGGTGAGTTACAGAAAAATTGATAGTCTAAAAACCTACTCTAGGAAAAATTACTTATACATGTCAAGTTTCATCACGATCGATTGAGCGATATAGAAGTTTATCACTTACCAACCAACCAACCAACCAACAAACATCCATTTTTATATATTAGATATATGCACTTTCAAATTACAGTGGGACTACTTACAACGGACATTACACAGCATATTGCAGACACCCATATAGTGGCACGTGGGATGAATACAACGAATCACACGTGTTCCCAATTTCGCCAAAATCACTTGTGAGCAATGAGGCATATGCCCTCTTTCATGAACTGGAGCAAACGAAGCAGCACCTTTGATGTGATTTTTTTTTTTCTTCTTTCCTTTTTTTTATAATCTTAGTTCTTTGAATTGATTTGTATTTTTTGATAATTGGTTAGTCGCAGTTTGAACAAAATATAACCATA